CGGCCGCTCCGCGCCGGTGCTCACGGCCGGGGCGCACCGCAGCCCCCGCGCTCTGCCCGGGGAGCGCTGCACCGCAGGCTCCCGCTGCCCCGCTGCCGGGCGCAGCCCCCTCGGGCTCCGTCACCGCCCAAGCCCCACCCGGCTCCCCGCCATCCCTCCGTGCCGACACCGGCAGCCGCCGCCGAGCCGAGCCGCCGCGGCCCCATCCCGCCGCTCACCCAGAAGGGCTCGGAAGCGTCCACGCTGCAGAAGCTCTCGATCCCCATGGAGCGCGGCGAGGCGACCGCGGACTCCCGCGGCAGCGCTTCCCCGTCCACAGCTCTCCGGCCTGAGCAGCGGCGGGCGGGGCCGGGCCGGCAGCGGCAGCTCGGAGCCCTGATTGGCTCCGCGTCACGGGGATGCCGAGCCCGGGGCCGCCGCCGCCCGCGCTGCGCAGCCCCGCCTCGGCGGGGCGGGGGCGGCCGGGCAGCGCCGCGTGCGGGCACCGCGGGTGCGCCCGCAGCGCCGGCGTGGGTGCGTCCCGCGGGGCCAGCAAGGCCTCCGCATCAGGGCGGACGGGCCCCGGAGCCTCTGCCAGAGCCCGACGCCTGCCTTTGTTCAACGCAGAAATGCCCCGCGCCCCCGGCAGCGTAGCCGGGGCGGAATCGCTGCCCCCGGAGCACCGCGGGCGGGTCCGCCTGCCCGGGTCAATTGCCCCAGCAGCTTCCAGGGTCCTGCGCCTCGCACCCGCACCGCACCTGCCAGCATAGGCATGACGGTATCCCCCTCTCCGAGACACTGCTCCTGGGAACAGGGTCCCCACGTGTCCCCCGAGGAGAGGTACCGCAGTGCCCCGCTGGCACCCGGCCCCGCGGGACTCAGCCAAGGCAGGGTCCATGGGGAAGGCCCCAGGGAAAGCCTGAGTTCACCTTCAAACAGCTCACTTCTCAGCGTGAACCAGTTGTACTGGTTTCAATGCCCTCAACCAGTTCAAGTTGATTAGCACAAACAGAACCAAGACATCTTCATCCACAGCCAGGTTTGTATGAAAATACGTAGTAGTTGAGCTGACTGCACAGCCCTGTGGTTGCATTGGGCTGTGTCTCACGGTGTCTTCACATCCTATTTAAAATGCACCAGTTAAATCCACAGTCAGCTCGCCTGACTACCAGAATAGACCAGCTGGAGTATGGCGGTACATATGTAGGAATGGCATCGCATGCTGCAGGAAATAGCAGGGTGGTTACATAGTACTCTACAGTAACATCTGAAATCTTTAATCACACAAACCTCAATTTAAAATGCTCTTGTCCATCCAGGGCAATCATGGTAACAGACAAAATTGTTAAAAAGAGACAGGTCTTATTTGTTTAATGTGTAACTTAAAAGCAGGCATCGCACACACAAAAAATATATCACAGACTGCTTCTTTATTCACCTGCCCTTTCAGAGCTGCAGTTTCAGAGCTGTGCTAGTGGTGGCCAGATTGTCCATCCGACTGCAGTATTTCTGTCTGTCCCCCTGGATCCTGCACTCTCAGAAGAGCAGCAGCGGCGGAGTCCAGCCCACCCAGCTCCCGTCTGCACTGATGAACGGAGCACAACCACCGCAGAAAGACCAAACCACACACGGTGGGTGTCAGAAGTCCTATGAGTTTGTCAGTTTAACCCATACCTTAATTCATATCCTGTTAAAATCTTTACAGTATTGCAAGACAACAGCTGAATGTTCAAATATGATTCCCTTTATTTTTATATGCAAAAGAGAGTAAATAAGCATGAAGTGAGGAGTGTCTAGAAAGATATTTTTTACCCACACATGTTTATTGTAAGCTAAAAGACTAACAAAATTTAAGTTTCACATTCCAAATACTTTTCTTTCAGCCCCAGACTGTCCCAATGTCACCAATTGTCATGCTCCATGTCAATCATGTTTCTCCTCAAAAAATTATTCTTGGATTTCCACCTCAAATTAGTTCTATTACAATTAATTATATTTCCTTGTAGACCAAAATACAGAGTAAATAATTAATTAATGTGAGAAGAAGCAAAAGAGTTCAGAAGAAAAATGTAACAGATTCAAAATATTTTTTGTGGAGGAGAAAAACTAGAGCTGACACAAGGTCAAACTTGCAGAAATACAGAACCAAATCTCAGAGTACCAGAAAGTCACTGAACGTGGATTTCACAAACCATTGTTGTTAAAACACAGATTCATACAAGAAATAGAAACTGAAATCTTGTCGAAAAAAGGAGATTCCCTTGCAAGCAGAAAAAAGAACTACACAAAATTCTATATGTTTTTTTTTTTTTGTAGAATACAAACTGAAGCAGGTCAGGAAACTGAAGAAGTGTGGAAAACTTCAACTTATCAACGGGAAATCAGGTGTGATGGAAGAGTGACTCACAAGGTCATGGAGAAGTTTGGAAGGATGCAGAGAAACATGTTTAGACTGTGAAAATGCCGTAAAGTTAAACACGAGCAGCTGTTCGTCCCCAGGCTGCCCCGGGGATGCGGGCAGCGGGCTCGGGGTGGCCGGGGCAAGCACTGCTCTGACTCACTGTCAGCGACTGCTGGGCTGAGGAAACACATTGACTTCACCACCGCTTCTGATTTTCCTAAATTTTATTTATTGACCTCTACCAGAGAGGCTTTGGAAGACTGTCATATAAATATTTGCTTTGAGAGGAAATGTAACAAACAAACAAAACAAAACAATCCTAACAAACTCCCCAACCCCCATCCTTAAGTCTTGTCTTAGGTTTTACTGCCTAAGACAACTCACATTTTCCTTCAAGCCTCAGCAGACAATAGCAAATCCAGTTTGTTCACCCACACCAGCCGCATTTCCTTTGGGAAATACTTAATGCATTGACAGAATAAACACTCTTGACTCATCCCAGCAACAAGGAGCACACACACAAACCTCCAGACACGCCAGGGATCCTCAGGCTTGCAAAACACCCCGTATACAGTTACATTTTGGCAAGTCCTTTTTATTAGAAACTCAGCTTTGGCGAGTCCTTTTAATCAACAGTACATCTGTCAGGGACTCGGTGCAAAACTCCTCCGCTGCACACACGGAAGAAATTCTCGCTCATTTTCCATGTTTCCTTCCCCGATTTTTGCCAACCTCTAAAATTACAGAAGGAGAAAGCGTGGCAACCCTGACACTCCGCCCAGCTGACGGGGCTGGACAGCAGGACACCGAGCGCTAGCTGCACGGCCAGCACGGAGGCGCTGCTGACGCTGGTTATTCTATCCCGGCACGACCTGGCCCCGGGCCGCTGGCAGCAGAGGGATCCCCCGGGGCTCCGCTCCCTGAGGGGCTGGGCGGGAGCCGCGCGGTCCGCTCGGGGAGCTCCCTCCCGGCCCCGCTCAGTCCCTTCTGGGACCTCCCTCCCAGCCCCGCGCCGTCCCCTCACGGAGCTCCCGCCGCCCGGCCCCGCGCCTGCGCGGTGCGCGCGGCGCCATCCGGGTCCCGGCGCGGCCATGGCGACGGTGGCGGAGCTCAAAGCAGGTCGGGGCCGGAGCCGGGGCTGGGTTCGGGGATGTCTCGGGCCGCCGGGAGGGCAGGAGCGCGGATCGGCTTTCCGCGGCCACACGGATGGGTCTCAGAGCTGCCGCGGGCGCTAATGGGGGCCCCCGTCCCTTGGCGCTGCCCCCGCCATGTACCGTGGGCTGTATTTCAGTATACTTCTGTATTAAACGCATCTTGGTGCAGTAACATCCTGTTTCTTAGATTGGCAGAATGTATGCTTGCGACTAAAAAAAAAAAAAAAAAAATTGTATTTGCGACTTTCCTGCAGGTTTAATTTTATCTGGGACGTGCCCGGCCTGGTGGGTGCTGGCACGCGCGCAGATACCTTATCGCTGCCGCGCGCCTTATCGCGTACGCCAAAACTCTGTTTGTGCCGGGGCTCGTTAGTGCTGCTGCTGCTCGAATGCGCTTGGCTTTAAACTGACGCGCCTTTTGGTGGTGGCAGTTTTAAAGGACACCCTGGAAAAAAGAGGAGCTCTTGCCCAAATCAAGGCGAGGATCAGAGCTGAAGTGTTCAGTGCCCTGGAGGACCAGAGCGAGCCGCGGCCCACGCTGTCCCGGGAGAACCTCCTGATCAATGAGCTCATTCGGGAGTACCTGGAGTACAACAAGTATAAATACACAGCATCCGTTCTGACGGCAGGTATTGGCCATGGATTTGTGTCATCGCGGTAATAGTAACCAGTGATTGTTTGGTTTAATAATTCCATTGATATTATGGAATTAGTAATGTGATAAGCTGCATAATCTTGTCTTCCCTTGGGAATTAACAGGGTACAAACAACCTCTCCGCAGCTCTACTTGCAGCATTAAGCTAAATCACTCCATTAGTTTTCAAGAAAACTTACTCTTTTCTCCTTTACCCGAGGTAAATTATTTGACACAGTAGTTGATGCAAGGGCAAGAAAACTTGATAACAGGCTGCAAACTCAAATTTTTTGACATGCCTGAGAGTAGTAGTTTAGAGAAAGAGTTGTTTGCCTGATGAATTTATCTTTATACTGTAAAACTTCTTTAATGTTTTTCTTAGATTCTTTAAGAGTGAAGATAAAAACTGTAATGTGCTATTTTAAATTATACCTGTATGAATCACTAATGCTTAAGTGAGTTCCCTGGAATTACAATACACTGTTAGTTATTAATATAATTATTAATAGTCTAAAAGGGAGCTGTGTGCTCTCATGATCTTTTGAAGTCTTCTGTTAATTGGTGACATTTTTCTTACTGGTCTTAAGATCCAGGGATTTTGTTTTCCAGAATCTGGCCAGCCTGAAGTGCCCCTGGATAGACAATTTCTTGCCAAAGAGCTGAACATAGTTGAAGATGCAAGTGGAAAATCAGTGTAAGGAAGAATTTTGGAATGCACTGTATATTCTGTACATTCTATATGCCAGTATATTTTTCTCTTTAGTGTAATTATAAATCACATATAGATGTTCTCACCAATTAAAATGTGGCTGATCCCATGCATGTTCTAAAATGCTGGATTCAGCTTCAGGATGCCAAACATGAGGCTGTTTTCAGACATACTCCAAACTAACACTGCATTCTGCCAACACTGTGGCATTCTCCAGACAGTGCCCTTGTGCACCAAAACACAGCTCTCTTACCAGTACAGTCTACAGAAGGTAGGTCTGCTCTTTGCATCTCTGTGAGTTGCTGTGTGGAGCAATAGAAAGATTACTGTGAGATTAGATATAAAATCAGAGTGCTGCAATAAAACTGCATTAATGACCTGAGGCTGAAGCAGGTTCAGACACGTTCAGCATTCTCTGCAGCTTGTGCTGTCTGAACCTGTCAGGTGCTTAGGAACAGCCAAGTTTGAGATGTGCCATGGTGGACTGGCCCACCAAAGTCTGATCTGTTGTGAGTGCATGGATCCTTCTGATCCATGGGTGAGAATGTGGATCTGTGCTCCTGTGCTGAACACACTCCAGTTCTTCACCTGCCAGGGGAGCTGAAGTTCGGTGGAGATGTCTCTTAGTCTGAGCTTTTTAGGGCAGTGTTGGTGTTCAGAGGGAGCTTAGGTCGGTGCTCATTTATGTAATGATACTTGGATGGGTTTTAAGTCATCAAAGACATATGTACATATTGTAGAAGTAAATATTAAGATGTAAGAAGTCCTGGGAGAAGTGTATTTTAATGTTCAGTATTTCATATACTTTACAGACTACTTTTGAATTTCTCCCTTAAGCAGACCTCTCCTGTATGGAATTCTCTCACATTTCTTGCACGGTGGTAAAGAAGAAAGTACCCAGAATATCCTTCCAAAAGTGTCCTTGCTGAATTACCCAAAGCAGAACCTTGGCAAACCAGCTGCTGAGAGAAATCAAAAAGGTGTGTGCAGTATTATTTTTGCAGAACTTTTATCTGTGACCATATTTCCTATGCCATGGGTATGCTTATATTAGCATAGCCATGCAGCTGGACACGTGTACCTCCTTCTCTGTGCAAGGAGTGCTTTCATCTGACACCAGATGGCTTTACCCTAAATGTTCAACTGGCCAAATTGTACTCCCTTACATTATTACAAACCTGAAAAGGGTCAGCTAGAGACAGTCTCACTATACTGGGAATTCAATATTTTAACCTAAATTCTCAATAAAATAAATAGTGAGCATATCTCTGTTTCTTATTTGGTCTAACCTAATTTCTGTAGAAAGTTCTTAACTCTTCAGTTGTCAGTTCTTTACATGGGCATAAACTTCTTCTGAGAACAAAACTCATATCCTATTTGCCACAAAAGCTTAAGCCCAAAGTTCATTGCTCTACAGTAAACACTGCTAAACCTTACTTGCCTTTTCTGGTCTGCTTTTGGACTGGTTACAATTAATACCACCTACGCTAGAGAACAAAAAGGTTCATTGGCCCAGCTTTTTCCTTCAAAGAGGCTGCTTGGCATATTGCTTCATTTTTTACTGTGAAAATTTATTACTCTCCTGTTAATTTCATGGTTTGGTTTGTATCCAAAAATTTCAAAAGTATGAAGCCTGAGATTTTACTGACATCTGAAAAGGGTGAGAAGTACTAACAGGTTTTTAACAGTTAATTCACTGAGACAATGATGTTTTTCTTCTGCCAGAAGAGGGGGCTGAAGAAACAAAATTTCCATTCCAAAACTACTATAAATTACTTCTTTGTTAGAAAACAATTATTCCTATCAGAAATTTCTCCATTTTTTAAACAAACTGAATGTCTAGGAGAATTGTTTTTAAAGTAACTTTTGTTTCTGCTGACTCTGCAGGGTCACCCTGCCCTGTTGGCTTCAATATAACTTCACATGGAGATTTAATTGGTTACAGTTAGTTACAGAACTCAGGATCAATCATGAGACACAACAGCACATTGCTTTTTTAGAACTAAACAAAAAACTAAATTTTTAAGGCTTTGAACCTTTAAGTAAATATATTTTGAAATTACTGTCTGCATGTGTTTGTGGAGCATGTTAGTTGAGACCTAAAGGCAGTGGGTTTAAAATACTAATTATCCAACTGTGTTCATTAGGCTGCATATTCATAAACTCAACCTGCCAAGTCTCTTATGTAACATCTGACTTGCTTTTCACTTTAGAAATTATCTTGTTTATTTAGATGTATGAGTATTCCAGCAGACTGGGGATCCTGATAAAAGGTGTGAAATCTGGTGTTTCTTTACCTCATTCTCTACAGCTGAGTTGGAAGTTGTCTGAAATCCACTCTCAGTAATATAAAGCTTTTATCTCCTACAGCTGCATGGAAACATTTATCTGTAAAATTTCCTAAGTTCCCCATGATGATATTGTGCATCCAAGTTGGTAATAGTAGAAGGTAACGCACCTTGGACCTCCAGATGCATGAGAGTATTTTTGTCTGTGTTTCATTTCCAGACAGAATTCCAGAACCAGGAAGGATGGCTGGCATGAGCTTCGAAGAGCCTCTTATTTTACAAAGTATAAAGAGATGATATCTTTCATTTTGTAATTTCTCATTTCCAAGGTCTGTCAGATTTAATTTAGGACATTCTTCATTGCACAAATTTCTTCAATAAATCCAGTGGGACCATTTTAGCTTGTAATATCTACTCATGAGACAGGATGACAAGGTCATGCTTACTGTCAATTTAAAAAATGTTAGCAAAGCTCTCTTTCCACACTGCTGATAGAAGGAAGACTGTATAGGGACTCACCTTAGTGAATCCTGTATCTAGAATTGCACCTGAATATACTGAGTTTATCCAATAAATTTTTATATAATAACTTATAATTTTTACTTTTATATCCTTTTGTGTTTTTTCTGTGTTTCTGAATAAAATTTTTTAATTTTATTCTGTGTGGTATTTGAGAGTGTTCAAAGTAAACATTTCAATCATTCTTTTTAAAAAGAAGATGCAACTTTCAGATAAGTAAGGGAAAAGAAATTGTAATAGAAAAATTGAAGTGATTTAGAGGGATAGTTGTTTTTAATTCTCCAGAAATGGGGACTATATTTATCCTCATTCCAGCAAACAAACAAGAGTAAGTTTTTTCCATCTGGAGTTGCTATAAATTGTTTGGTGTAACACTGGGTATATGGGAGGCAAAGGAACTTCTGGGTTTTTTTCCCAAACAGCATGAAACTCTAAGTCAGGCAAAGCTAAAAATAAAGTTGATAGGAGATTACTGATTCTCAGAACTCATTTTTAGCTGAGGTATTTACATGTTTTGAAATGGTAATTTATTTTAAAAGCCAAACTTGCAGGAGTACATAAAAAATAACATCTATTTTTTTTCTCTTCTCATTTTAACAAAATGCATAAATGTTAAATATATCCAGTGGTACTGAGAGGAGTTTTGTATAACTAAATCCCTAGAGGCAGGTCCTTAAAAGTCTTTATTGTTAGATAAATGGTAGAGTGGAAGGAGGAAGAGAGGAGGAGAACCTGCAGTTTCTGCAGTTGCAAGGACCCCAAGTTGTGAATTTCACACTGAAGTTTTGCCTTTATCTTGATTTGACCCAGTTAGCATTGCAGGGATACTTTTTATTTCTCCCAGCAGCCTGCACTGTAATGTGGAATTGCAGAGAGGCTGCATTATCCATTTGAAGCCTCAGCAGTGAGCTCATCTCCTCTGTGACTGGCAGTGCTGGCAGCTCCTCGCTGGCTGATTTGTGAGTGTCTCAGGACTGCTGCCAGGAGGGGAGGACCTGTGTTTGCAAATAAACCTCAATCAAATCCATCTTTAAGTCCTCTGCAGCAGTGGCAGCTGACCACTGGATCAGGCAAGGGAATCTCTCTGCTGTGTGCTCACACCTCTGTCACCTTCAGCTGCTGGGCTGAAGAGCCATCCCTGAATTTTTAATTTGATTTTCTGGAAGTTCAGTGCTAGACCTGTGTTTTTCCATGAAGCAGTGGATCAAATTGTTATGTATATTGGGATTCTGAATTGTCTTTTCAAGGGCAAAGAAAAAGGCTCTGAAAACACAAAAGCTCAAACCTTCTGTGCTATGCAAATGTTTCAGTGTAACCAAAGGCACTGCTTCTGCTTTCTGTCTTCCCACCATAGATCATTCAGATGCTACCCAGGTGCCATGGAGCTCCCTGGGAAATTAATTTTTATTGGTAGAAATTAAAAAAAATCCCCCAGGCTGAAGAAGGCAAAGGGATGTTTGGTACCTGCCCTTTCCCAAGCACACAGCTCAGCAGGCTCCTCTCTCCACAGTCAGGAAAGCAGAGGCTGCTACAAGGACATCCTTCACAGAGCTTTGAGGTAAAGATGTATGTCTGAAATCAGAGACAAAATACATTTGATACACAGGGAATCTTTGGACTGTTTTCTCTGGGGATTCACCCACTGGACAGTGGGTGGAATTTGGTCTGTTTGCTCTGGGTGTAACTTGAATTTCATCTAATTCTCCAATACCCTCACAGTCACATCAGGGGGTTAGAAAAAATCTCGTTTCAAAGTATAATCATTGTACAAGCAAACTAAAGGCAAATTAAAGTGTATTTCTAGTGATGTTTATTTACAACAAAGCTTTGAAATATGCTGTGAAAATATACTGGTCCAATCATATTATTAATTGTCTAGCATTTATCTTGTCAGTACATGAAATATGAGAGTATCTTTTAAGATGCTAAAACACAGCAAGTCCTCTGAATGTCAGACTGCCTGCCTTGTTACTGGGTGAAGAGGAATTGCAAATCTTTCCCACATGGATGCACTTAGTATTCCTTAAAATTTTAAGGTGAGATCGATATTTAGATCAAAATATTTCACAGTCCTAGAGTCACAGGTTCAGGTTCTAGAAGAAATTGCCGCCTAGCTGAGCATACAGAAAAATTATTTTCTTAAATTCGGAAGTTGCATAATTACAGCCTGGCATGTCTTGTATTAACTGCCCTTATTATTTTTACTGACAACAGAAAATTAAAAAAAAAAAAAGATACAAGCATATAGAAGTTTAGGGTCTTTAAACAGCAAAATGAATTTGTGAGTTTTGTTGGAGAAAGAACATTAACCAAGAGCATTATGGAGGGAATGCCATTAAAAGAGGCTGTTTGTTGTCTAAGCACATTATCACAAGTGAAGGTGACAAGGAGCCAGTGAAGTCTGGTGTGGATATCAGATCTGGAAAGCACTTTGGAAGAACTTAACCCACAAGTTTTAAAAATAAAAAATTCTTCAAGACCAAATTTTTGCTCTCCCCTTGAAGGAGAGCAAACTGTGTCTCTCGACTGCAGCTGTGCTGTTTCAGAGGTTTCAGTTTCTGTCCTGCACAGAGGAGATTTTTTGAAGCTTTATCAGCTCCCCCTGAGGAATCAGTTACGTTTTCCTTCCTGAGCACCCTCATGTCAGGCACCCAATCTCGGTGCCACTGGATCACTTTTCCGGAGGACTGATTAGCCTTGGGTAATCACCTTTAGGAAAAGAAACCCGAAAGGTTTGTTCACACTTGCAAATACACCCTTTCAGCAGCAGCTGATTCAGACCTGCTCTGTGCACTTCTCACACTTCACCTGACCACCTGCAGCAGCGTGAAGCACAAACATCAAGCAGCTGGTGAGTGTTTTCCCTCATCAGACTGTTCCCAACATTGATTGTCCTGGCTTGGACACAGACTGTCCCTCCTGCTGCAAGGGCACAGCTTGACGCAGGCAGTAATCCACCACTACAATTACCTGTTCTAATTACACCTGTCATCTTAGAGAAACATGGTTGGTAAAACTTGAGTAAAAACATTTCTAAACAAAAAAAAAATTGCTTACCTGATGCCTTATTTAACAAACTAACATCACCATCTGTGCTTTTCTTTTTTCCTCTCTCTTGTGTTCAGGTTACATCATGGTAAGGCAGCTAAAAGTTCACTTCTTTCCTTCTTGGGTCCTCTTTCTTTTCCCCAAGTACAATATTTACAGTGCAAATTCAGTAAGGAAATATTTAAGGGTAGGCTGCTTAATGCTTTATTTTTTTCTAGAAAAGTAATTAAAACAAATAAATAAACAAATCAAGGCGGTTCAAACAAAGCTTATTTTCTTGTCACAAATTTATCATCCACTGGAAAGCCACAGCTTTCATTTTGAGGCAACTTTGGTTTAAAGCAAACACCACAACTTTCAGGAGCCCCCAACCAGGCTGTCAGATTAGTATATTCTTACATTAGCTTTTAAGTGGAGGTTGGAAGCCATGCTTATACTCATCAATTCCTACCCCACATGGCTTGAGAGTGCAACTCTTTCAGTCCCAGCAGTAAGCAGTAATATTTTTTTTTACTTTCCAGCTCCATTTAATGTCACATCATAGATCACCCTCCGGCACTGCTGCCGTTAAACTCCCTCCTCGGGCAGCAAGCCTGCGTGTGCAGTGGTTTGCAGACCAGCCAGAATAATTTCCACTCCTTTTTAAGCTACTATTATAATGTGTCTGGTTTTGTGAAACAGCTGCATGTGTTTAAAAGGAACTTCTTAGAATAACATTGATGAATGTTAAAATGATCATACTTTTCAGAGGATTCCCTTGCATTTAATTGTGTTTCTAATTAAAAGCTAAGTTTGTAATCAAGAAACTGCAGGAGAAAAAAATAAGATAGGACGAACTACCCTGCCCTGTGAGGAACTTTCTGCTAACAAGGACAAGTTTCTTGGATTTATGTGGTGGTGATCATTTCCCTGGCTTTGCTCCAACAAAGTCACACATGCACAGGTCTGATATGGCGCTGCTGGGTCCTGGAAGGCTCTGCATGGCTCCGTGGCAGCCCCACACCACTGCAGACACCAACCCTTCCTCTGGCAGGACGGTCTGTGACCTCTGGGACTGTGTCACTGCCCTGGCAAATCTGGTCTTCTCCAGCTGAGGCCCAAACTTGACCCCACATCTGATATTTCTAAAATGTTGCAGAGTAGAAACCAGAAACCCCAGCGCTCTTTCCCTCTCTCCTCTTTGTCCAAATTTTTTCACCACTGGCCAGAACTACAAGAAGAGATTTCAGGTCTATCACACCTGAAAGTTCCTGACCCACTGACAGCAGAGGTTTTCAGCCCAGCCTCCCCTCATAGGTATTTTTTTAGGATGATGAGACCAATATGAGCTCCATCCATCTTCCCCAGGAGGGTTTATTTTCCAGAGAAGACAGAGCTGTTGATGTTAAGAGAAATAATTTCACTTAGGCCTGTGCTCTGATCCTTTGGGTATACACCATATTTAGTCTGTTGCTGAGAGGGGGTTGTTTCGGTATTTTGTATTTGGCACGTTGATGGGAATTCCTAGAGGATCCTAGCTTTCCCTTTTTGGGATATCTCCATCCACAGGTCCTACTGCACAAGGCTGTTGGCTACAAGGGGAGGAAGGAGGGGGGACAGCTGGGGACTGAAGGTTTGGGGGGTGTGAGGAAGGTTTGATGAGGACCAGAGCACTCCCTAACCCCTGCAGGTCTGGCTCCCAGCGCCCTGTCCTGCTCTCCCTGCCAGCACACGGTGCCTGCTCCCTGTTCTGTGTGTGCACCCCGGGGACTGTGCCCCCCCAGCTCTTCACCACTTCTCTTCTACATTTACGGGCACAGGGAGGTATTTCTAGGTATTTCTTATATATGAACAAGTATTTACAGTCCTTTCTCAAGAACTGAGCTGCACACTGGATTGCAAAAGTAACTTAGGCAAATCTGATGGGAAGGTGGCAAACAACCCTCTCGTTTCCTGGGGGCAAAGGAGGCTTAAACCAGCCCCAGGCTCCAAATGTCACATAAACACAGGGAGACCCAGAGCCACTTCCACTCACACAGTTCTGCTGTGTTAGGAATAACCCTCTTTGCCCAAGCAACCCCTGAACTCAGGGACCTAGCTCCAGCAAAATG